CAAAATAAATTAGATCAAATATGTTGCAGTGCACTGTCACAACCTAGCAAAGCAAAATAATCGTTTTTCGATTATCGATTATGTTGTTTTCGTAATTGTGGCAGGCCAACATCGTAATTGCGATGAAAATACGATTAATTGCACAGCCCTAACACATTCTCTAACTTTGATGAGCATCTAACTTTTCATCTACAGTAGTGTGAACATTTCAGCTTGTCAAATGCTTTGACCAAATGCCAGCTAAACTAATGATAATCCTATCAACTGCAGCTTCACATTGTGTTTACATTGATAAGCTAATATTAGCTTGCCATTATGGTAAATTGAGGTGCTGCACATTAACAATAAACCTGCCTCACAGAGCTGCTAGTATGGCTGTCGATTCTCGGTTTTGTTTATTGTGAAAAAATACATATTTAGGCGCTGCTCAAATTTAACAAGTCAAAGGGGGTACCTTATATTTAGCTATAACTGCTTGCACCTTATAGACATTGCTTCATGATTAAAGGCAACTGGCCAAAACGTTTGGGATTCAACAAACCAAATACTTGCTTATCTTATTCTAGCCATAGTATCAAAATTGCTCTACCACAGAATAGCATCTATATATTAAAATACTGTCTGTAACTTTCTCTTAAGTTTGTCAGAATTACGTTTAATGAAATGTAAAATCCCACTGCTGTGTATCTTTGTCCTTCATTCACGGAAATCTGCAGTGTTGTGCGTTTAGTTTTGAGTGAGTGGGTGTGCATTAATGGTCAAAATGGCTTTAAGTTGCCCAAGGCCATTAGTTAGTTTTTTCTCTTGTTTGAGTGGGTGAGTCTGAGAGATACTGTAAAACTGTCAGAGGGGTTCAGTCAGTATTTACTAATGGCCTTCAGTCAAGGTGCTGTGGTTGTTGATGTTTTAAGCCTAGAGCAATAATACTGTAGTATTTACTGATTTGTGGAGCTCATTTTCCATTCCAAACATTCGTTTTCCAGCTTTGACTGTGTGTTAAAGTGTTGATGCTTACTTTAGAGGCTGTGAAGTTGTTAAATGTCTGTCACTAAGGGCTGATAATGGTTGACTTTTTACTACTGTAGTTTTCTTTCTTTTTACGACTCACTTCCAAAGTCTTTTGCTAGTTATTTATTAAAGCTGACAGACACTGTACTGCTGATTATAATTCAACTAAATATGACTCCCTTTTGCAGCTGCCTTGTCGATTATGATTTATTTGAGTTGCAGCTTAAAGTGCTGGTTCACTAGTCGCAAACACTGTAAGATTGATGTTGTGCATAGAAGATTTTTACTAACTCAACAAACTGCTGTGGACTCGAATGATAACCCTTTTATTGAGACAGTGTTTCTGCAAAGTAACAGTTTATATGACAATCCATTCCTATGATGTGTCTGCCTGTATACAAGGAAGACATCAACTCCAAATCAGAAGATCCAGTAAGAATACAAGTGTCCTATATAATATTCACACATACAGTTATGCAACATTTAGAAATGCACTTATCCACTCGGATGCATCTTTGATCTGTAAATGGAAGAGTTGAGTAAACTCCTTTAGAAACACACTTGCTCTTTGCAAAATTACAAAACTGTAACTTAATGTTAAAATATTAAATTAAATTAGATCTCTGCCCGAGTGCTACCATGTCTCTATCACAGCACTTTGGCTTTTTGTTCAGCCTCTCACACCCACACAGAGAGAGAGAGCAAGCATAAGCAGTACGTATCATTTGACAAATTACTATAGAGCCCTGGAGTTAATGCACAGCCTTTTCGACCTGCACAGTAGGCAGGTACATTGCCTTCATGTTTTATGTATAATGTATTTATCAACACCCACACCCTCAATTCTCCTGCAGAAAACCCATGAAAATATTACACCAGAAACCCAGAGCAGACTTGGTTTCACTGCTTTCCTCAGGTATGAAGCATGGTGATTATTACTGTGCTGTATTGTTATTGTGAAACTACTGCAGAGCTACAAAATCGTGTCCTCCATCTCACAGCAAAGCTTCTACCTTGAAATGGTTGAGGGGAAAATTACATTCATGTGAAGGTCATCGTAACACTGGATATTGCAGTACAGCAGTTTGGGCTAAAGTTAACAAAACCAGTGGCAAAATTGAGATTCTGTAAAAAAAACAGTCACTCAAATGAAGAGACCGCACACAACACATGCACAGAGACTGCAGCATGATCCATTGTCTCTTTGAGGACCGCACCACAGACTGCAGATCAGATGAAACATGGCACAGCCTCCATCTTCACCTGAATATGACACTCCTGCACGGGCTCAGACGCTGATTTATGCTCTGTAAAAAAAAGAAAAAGTGGCAGAGAAATGTAAAAGATGTGTGAGGATGCCTGGAGGAAGAGCGTGAGTCTTCCTGTCCTTGTCAGCATCTGAGCCCATTAAAGAGTCTTTCCATTAAAGAGACTAGCACTTAAGTTAAGAATGAGTTGTGTGGGAATAGTGCCCACATCTTCTTTAGTTCACACCTACTTAATATGGTAATGTAATCATATTGACTGTCTTTGTAGGCTGTGGTGTATTTTATAATTGTTATGTAGTTGATAATAAAGCCAATATACTGAATGTATATTTTTTCTTGTATGATAACTTAATTTTGAATCATTTTTTGGGATTCACAAATGTCTTATTGGTTCAAACTGAAAATGTCCTTTAATAATAATTTAGCAGATAACCTGGATGTTTAAAACAAAATCTTAAAACTTTTTCGTCCAAATATATCTTGAGATGCCATTCCCACAGAGATTTAAAGGGCAAAGCTTCTTCCTCACCATGAAATGAAATTCAATCCACCCTGAACGACCTAAAACGGTTTCAACCACCTGACACAGCTCACCACCCTCTCTCCATTTTCACGAGTAAGAGCAGCTGTCGCACAGTTTGTGGAGTTGGAAGATGTACGGCTGCTCCTTTGTGTACTTGAGCAAAAATAAATAGGGTTTCATAGATCCAAAAAAGTAAGCTACATTTATATAAAATAATATTCAATCATTATTTCCATGTATTGAGATGTCTTTTCTATGCTAGTTTTGTAAAGTGAATTTGGGAATATAGTAAACTGAATTGATCCTGGCAGGTCGAGGAGAAAGTCTGTTCAACACTCCCTCTCAACTCTGTGGAGCTCTTAGTGTCTTTCGGCTCATTGATTTTGGTTTTACAACCCACAACTTTTCTATTTTGGTTCACTCTCAGCTGCAGGCTACTGATTTCAATGAAAAAAACAAAAAACTTTGTCTGGTTTCTGCTTGTAGCTCAATTGTGGTATGAGTAGTATTGACCAATACATTTTAAGCTGGCTTTTTTTGTATGCAGGTAAACATCCAGTTAGGAGTTCAGAAATGCAATCTTGTAACTCAATTCAAAAAGAAAAAATATATATATATGTTAGTAATTTAGTTTTTGGGAGAAGGGGTGGGATTACATAAGTGTAAACTTCTTCCCACCCCTTTTCGGATGTGTAATTAAGTATATTATTTGTTTATACATAATTTAGAATCAGCAATATATTTGTATATCAATTTGACACTTTTACATTTTGTATTTTATAATAATTCTCATGTTAAATGTTTGTATTATTGTTTTACACATTCGAAATAAATCGAATCAAATCAAAAAGCCTTATCAGGTATTTTCAAGGGCTGGTGTAAAGTATTTTAAAGGGATATATTCTCAAAAATGAAATGTGATTCTAAAATCACCTGAAACTAAGAATCGTTGTGTTTTTGAGTGGGTCCTCTTCACTGAGTCCAGAATGGACAAACCAAACACAGCTAGACCTCTTTTTTTTTGCTGAAGGCCACTGTAGTTTTTTGACAATCCTTTTAACTGTGGTAGCGCCAGCCCCTGCCGGAATGTTGCTACTCCTATAGTCAGAGCCGTGGGAAGTACAGTAGGGGCGCTGATTGAGGTCAAGGTCCTCAAAGATACCAATGCCTTACCATGGTTTTGCACTTGGCTTCCCATTACTGCATTCTTGTAAAGGGAGGGGTATGCACTTGGTTGTAATCTGCTACCCTATCGCTAGATGCTGCCCAATCCGACACACAATCGGTTCAAAAATGTCATATCTGTTAGGGTAGGTTTAAAGGTGGGGTAGGTAAGTTTGAGAAACCGGCTCGAGATACACTTTTTGTTATATTCCATGGAATGCTTTTAACATCCCGATAGCAATGAATATCTTAAGTGCTTTGACAAAAAATCCATACAAAAATGTCATCTGTGGAAGCCGTAATACTGTAAAAAGCACGACCAATCATTTTAGCCGGCCCGGCTAAAGTAACTGGATGGCCTACCTGCCTGTCAGCCTTCCATCTGTGCACAAACTTATCTCGTGCCCTCATTGGTCATGTGCGCGTTCGTGTGTGTTGGAGGAGGGGCTCTGTAAGGAAGTGGCAGATTTTTTCCGGCTGTGTATTTTCAAATTCTAGCGATCTCGAGCTGGTTTCTCCAAAATTACCTACCCCACCTTTAAACAAACTCAATTCCCGCATCTCAAATTGCTGTACAAGATTACAAACGAACACTGACAGACCAAATAAATCAGTCATAACATAAGCATAGGCTATTTCAGTTTAAATGCTAATACAATACCAAATCGGCACATTTCTACATTTCTCTGTATTTATTCACATATTTATTTAAGTATATATTATTAAATCTATTTAACATTGCTTTTTCATACAGTGAGTCCCTGCAGAGTATTGTGAGTAAACCCTCCATCAGAAAGCTAAAGTGAGATTAATTTTTAAATTGAGATCTCATCTTTCGTTTCCCCCCCACACAATGCAGCACCAAACAGCCCGAGTACGAGAGAGAGAGAGAGAGAGAGACTGGAGAGAGAGCGCAGATGAGCCCCAGCCGGGTCCTCTTTCAAACACACACACGCTGACACACACATGCAGCGCTCCACGTCCCACACACATATAAATGCCAGGTCACTCATACACATGCAACCCAATAACGAGTGCACCGTCAGTCCGAGCTCCATGCCGCTGTCTGTGGTAGAGCTAACCGCTTCTCCGACACACAGCGCCGGGATCCCGCGGTGAGAGGAGCCGCTGCTGCTGCTGCTGCATTCCTCCCACAAAGAGGAGCGGAGAGGGACCTCATTTGGGGGGCGGTAGATAATTCAACAGCAGTGCTGGGAGGAGAGGAAGGTGAGTGAATGCAGTCCAGTACTACAGCTGCTGTTGCTGGAAGAGGAGGAAGCTCAGTGTTCTGAGTGTGGAGGAGCAACATCATCCTGCACTCAGACTCAGACAGAGCAGACGGCCAACAGTGATCTAAGCACCTCCAGGCTTGCAGATGGAAGGAGAGCTGTGCAAGATCTAGTCCTGGGTGAGCCAACTTCACACACGCACACGCAACCACAACCACATACACACAATCATCTGGTGGTCCACTTGATGTGCTGTCTGGCACTTTTTACCACAGAGAGTTGAGAGACATGGGGTTAATCTCTTGTGTTTTTTTCCCCATGCTGCCACTCTCCTCTCATCCAGATCTCAATGGTCACTTAAACATGATGACCGGCTGAGTGTAAGATTCACCCCCTGATCACTGTGACACTAGTTCACCCCCTCAGCCTCTTCTCACTCTGTCATGATGCAGTCCAGGCGGATCGATTTGCTCTCTAACTCAAATGGACATTTGGTCTTATCTCACGCCGCCCGTGCTTTTCTTTTGTCATCCATGAGATGTTTCATCCATGCAAGCACAGCCTCTCTGTGTGCCTCTGTGTGTGTCTTTGGTTGCCAGTTCTCAATTAGGATTTAATGATCTAAACGGGGCAGAGAGGGGAAGGCAGCCTTTGATCGATCCCTGCAGTCATCTTAGTGTAAGAGGCTCGGTGCCTGTTGTTGCTGTGACACATCTGAGCCTTTGCCTGTGTTTGCTCAGCCCCTCTCCATCTCTGTTAGTGCCTTAACTGTGTCTCTGTTCAGTTCTTTGTGCAGTTCCAGAAATAAACTGTTTCATAAGAAAGGTCTGCAGACAGTTTTGCTTTTATCTCATTCCTCATCTGTCAGGGTGTACCACCGTCCCGGCATTTCTTGCATACATTTGCCTACATACATCGCAAAACATGTAATTAAATGCACATTTAAATTTGGATTTGCATAGAAATAGATTTGCATTTGTTGATAGTCACAACTATGAAGTGTTTTTCTTCATGTAGCTTTCGTGGCATTATTAGAAAGTTAACAGCTGGGAAGAGACAGGAATTTAGGGGAGATATTAATGTGGAGTGATATGCATCAAAAGTGCTTGGCACGATCCGAACTGCAGAAATTCATGTTGAATGTCTTAAACCCTTTGACTACCAGGGGCTAACAGGGGTCTCTACCCTGATTTTTATGTCTTGAGTAGAAGGCAGTTCTTGTAGTGTTTCACTTCGTTGGGCACTTACTTTAAATTCACTGCTATCCCTAAATGAGTGCGAAACCAATCACAGTAATGCAAAAACCCACAAATCCACTGAAACGTGCATCTTATAATTTTTCATTGCCGGTACATTTCTGTAATTAAAACCCCAACACTTTATCATCCTCTCTCTGTTCGCTTCTTGTGTGCAGTGAATGAAGCATTACCTGATTTGTTAACCAAACAATTAAACATCTCAGGCATCGATCCTGTGACGTGATTAGGTATAAATATGTTGTATGTATGGGGAATTATCTAGTTTTTGGGCAAATGTTGATCAGTCCTGTTTGCCATGTTCAAGTATGATTTAGCAAATGACTCGAAAAATGATGTGCAATCGCTTTTTATAGCCGCCATTAGTGTGTGAAATAATGGCTTAATGAAAAGCACATTGTAAAGTGCTTTCATGTTCAATTACCATTTTTCATGTTTATCTCATCAAGTTAAAACTATACTTGTCTCACATGTGTCATTGTCGACACGCGCTGTTGAAAGCCACATTAGCTGCTACTGTCTAAAAATCAACATGAGCAAACCAGCGTTGAAGTGAATGCAACAGCGCTTAATGGTACCCGAGGTGCCACTTAGCCTCTCTATTTGACAGATTTATGTGTCAGTAATGAAATGTCTGCTGACGGTTCTATGTGGCCCTCAGAGTGCATTGTTGAATCAGACTTGTTAGTCTTGTCCATTACTACTCCTACACTTACCTCCTAATTTTGATGCTTTTTGCCGCACATAAAGCTGTCAGCCGTGCTCAATAGTGACATTAGCTCAGCTGAACACTGCCAATGCTCGGCCTCATTGTTTTCAACTCTGGAGTATTTATGAGGGCAGTAAAGCAGAGATGCATCCTCTGTCAGCAAGAGGAGGGTAGTGCTGCTCCTACAGAGGGAGTATGTGGGCTGAGGAGGAAGGACTAGAAGGAGGAAGAGGAGCGAGCGCCCCTATGAGTGGCTGTCAGATACCTGCAGGCTCGCTGGCATGTCAGCTGTCGATGTTAAGATGTCCAGCTGGAGCGATCAAGAGCCCTGTGTGCTGGCCGTCCTCCAACGCACAGACTACTGTAATGCCATTATAGATGTTCAGATGAGGCTGTAAGCTATTGCAGAGCTTAGAGAGAATTTGGGCCTTACAAATCTTTTATTTACAAACTTGATTGCGTCTTTTCATATGTGTTGTGATGATAGAAGCTGGCTGACCTGGTTACCTTAGGGCAGATGTTGACTACCATTTTTTTCATACAAGGTAAAACAAGGCTCTTGTTGTTTTGTTTTAATTTCCTGTAATGTGTTATATAGGTTTGTTGTGCATTTAAATGGTCTGCAAAGACTAACATCCCAAAGTTCCCTCCAGAGGGAGTTTCTCTCCCACACACACCTTTCCTAAAACCCCTCCATTGGACTCCTTTGTTTGCTTCCGCAACATATTGACATCACTCTGTAACACTTGAGTTCCTATTGGTTAGCGTTCCAACACATTGTACGTGATAGGCTTTGGGGGAGGGACATCTCTAAGCGGTTGACTAATCACAACAGAGCCAACCAGCTAACCAATCAGAGCAGACTGGGATCTGGTTTCAGACAGAGGGTGAAAAGAGGTGCTGCAGCACAGGCAGTATGAGAAGAGCTTTTTGAACATTAAAGCATGTTACAGTAGAGGCACACAATTCAAATATTAACCTGAAAATGAACATAATAGGGCCCCTTTAAGATTGGATCTTCCTGCTACTTTATCCGGTTTTAAGTCAAATGTACTTGTTTGACATACTAAGTCAGCATTGCAACATGTGTTTTCTTAGTAATGTAGCTCATTTAAAATGTGGATAAATCCTTTTAAGATCACATCCTATTTTCTGTAAAATGTAATGAGTTGAGCAACACCTCAATCAAGTAAGCCCTGGCACTCAGGGTTTTTCACTCCCTTTTAAAAGGCTTAGGTGCATCCCTAGAGCCGAATGAATGTGAAATCAATGTGCAGAGCATCGACTAACTTAATTACTTTTCCCAGATCTAAAGAGTATCGTCCACACTGGAATTCTTTAGCAAGTTCTCTAAACGGATATGTAATGGTTAAAAATTATGTGAAAAGAACCAGAAATAGTTCCAAAAAACAAGCTAGGGGCTTTGAAACTTTTATCCACAAAACAATGGGTGAGTACGTCCTCTTTTTATATAGAGGACGTACTTATTTATATCTATATACAGTCAGGAATTAAAGTAATCATTTTAAATGAATTAAAGTTTTTCATTCAAACATTTCATCGTTTTGTTTGTTTGGCCATATCTATCGCACCTGCAACTACAGCCTATCGCCATTGTTGCCGCCGTAGAGAATACAACAGAGTTTTTCCAGATTGTAATTTATAGCTGAGCTTAATATAATAGTTTGTATTCAAAAGTAGAGCAGTACAATAATGGTGAGCATACTGCAGGTTGTACTGAGGTGCAGTTTCTTTAAAATGACTTTTAAGGAGCTAGAAGCAGAGCTTCTGTTTTTTTTAACCAACTGGATCAAAGCCCAAGCAATACATCACCTTAGTGCATTAAAGCAGACTAATAAAAGTGCTCTGATGTTGAGGAGTCCATTTATCTTCCACATAATTTGGTTTTGCTTTTTGAAGATTTATGCCAGTGTCTTCTTAAAAGATATATTTCTCTATAATTCAAAACTGCTCTATTATTCGCTTATATGCATGTCTAGTTGCTGAACCTATTTATAGATTGTATGGCAGAGCACACACACTGCCACAGTGCTAGAAGATCATCCAGCACAAGCACTCATCCAAGCTCTGACCATTTATGTCGGCTGCCTTACACTTTTTCACCTCTCAATGCTTTCCCCCAGTTCCTTTCAAGTCTCTAAGCTAAATTGACTTCAAAAGCCGATGACAGGTCCTTTGTGACTTTATTGTACCGGTTCAGGATGACTAGAGCCGTGGTACAGATGAGAAGCAGCGAAAAGGCTGAGAAGTTTTTGCTCTTTGGATGCTGCATATTTTATGTTTCCTGAGGTCTCTGGAAGGTAGAGTCTGTGATGAGATGTCCGTAGTATTACGTAAGTAAAAGTGAGGCTAAGGAGTCTCATGTGTATAGATAGGCAATGCTTACTCACTCAAGAAGGAGTTACGAGACTACTATCTTTTGCTTTCTAAACTAAGTCATTCTGTTTGCCCAATGCTCCTCTGGAAGTGCGAGGCAACACTGACAATCCTTGTTATGTACATTTACACTCAAAAGATCAACACCCTATAAGAGACCTTTTATTTTTAAGTCTGGAAACAGAGAGCAAAGCGTCTCAAGCACTGGGATGAAGAGCTGGGTATTTGTGGAGTTTATATACTTGTCTCTCCCTACGGCTTATTTCATTTTATGTATTTCTATTGCTGCTGGCAGCTTGAAGTGGTGCAACCGTCCCTCCATAAAACAATATTCTCCGGTATGGATCGACCGCATGAGATTGCTGCAGAAAATGGAGTTCAAGGCACCTCATCAGAAAAGTACCATCTTTACCAGCCCCGGGAAACGTACCGCTTTGAATTGTTTGTGCTGACAGAAGAAGTCGATTTACTTATTTTGACAGAAGTGGGCTGGAGCTTCTCATACATAATCTACTTCAATCAACACCAACACTGCAAGACAGCAGAAATACCCAACTTCTGCTGTTCCTCTGGGGGGTTCACATCAGACTCACAACTCTACTGTTGGATGTTACTCTGTTATTGTTACACTCACAACTGTCCTGCGTAAAATAACAGAAGGTAGGAACTATCTAAGCTGTGAGATGGGGCATATAAATAAAGATTATACTTAAAAGGTACATTAAGTAGAATTGGCCAAACAGACTCACTCTTGATTAGATTTGTCTGCTTGGCGTTTCACAAGCTTCACTGTTTTTGCATTTTTCCAGGGCTTTGT